AGTAATATTAAGTAATTTAATTAAGTAATTTTAAATGTTTTTTTTTTTAATTAATGATTGAAATTTTGCAAATCTCATACAAGAACACAAATCAGAGTTCATTCTTTTTTTGGAAAAGGTTTTCAAAGTAGTCCCCCCTTTAATCATATTTGGAAATTTTCCTTTTAATAGCACTTTCCTTGTGGATGAGGACTGTCAGAGATTGGTGACTGAGCCCTAAGCTTTTAAAAAAACTCTTGGAAATATAATATGTAGTTTTTTCTCTCCCACATGCTTACCCCTTTCCTGTACCATTTTGTCTTATGAAGACCCCTGATAGATCTCTCTCTCGTGGCTCACTGAAAGAACAGAGAGGTAGATTTTGACTTGCCCAGCCCGTGATTCCTACCCCGTACCTTCTTTCAGCCATTCTGCTGGACTTTTGGCAATGCCTTCTTTGCCCCTGACTTTGAAACACTTGCATGTCTCTGGCAAAGATAGCTCACCAGTTCTTCCGTGATTACCTAACCAAATTGGATGTAAAGGACATTTTGCTTTCTTGTTTTCCATTTCTGTTTATTCTAGTATTTGGCGTGGTCACCTTATAGCTCCTCCAGGGGGATAATGTTGCTTTACCAATGTTTAACACATTGATAAATGTTAACAGTGTAGTAGTGATGGTAAGCTGACATGCTAGAAGTGATTTAACTAAAACAATATGAGGATTTGCACCACATGCTTAATCTATTCACCAAATGTATTCATTTCCAGGTTCAGTACTCGAACCTTAAACCATCCAAATAGCCTGGGTTTATCTAGACACTGAACCACAAAAACTAGGCAAGGTTAAAACTAACCAAGATTTGCACATTTGCAGTTTTTAACTGATCTGCTTAAGAGTAACGAGGGAATGCAGACAGGGCGTTTGTTATCCCAGTGGGGTCCTTGATACGAAGACAACCTTTTTCCACAGCTTGGTCCGTAATAGCACTAAGTTGCTTCTTCCTCTTTGGACCACAGGGGATGAATATGCTGGCCTGCTTTTATGTAATACTGTCATTTTAAAGATTGTGCCAGCTACGGCAAAGAAGTGTTATGTCTCTTCCAAGTTCTAATTCTTGGCCATTTATTCCAGACTGGTTTGAGGAATATAAGGAGGGAATCAAATGCCGTACAACAATGTTTCTCACAAAACTTGAGCACAGAGTGATTTCATTCCTCCATAGCTCAAGAGGCAGAGCAAAAGTACTATTTAGACTAAACATAAATAGTAGAATTTAGCTATAGTGCAGTCATAATGCAGCACTATATGAACTTGAATTATGATGCTGGATTTATCTGTCATTTCTGCCTCTGTTCACTCAGTCATGTTGGTGTGAGGTACAGGTAGGTTTAGGATTAGAAGAAGCTCCTTATGTAGAAGAGAAGGACGTGAGTTCTGTCCTAGTTGTGGGAAAGGGGCAGCAACATCAGAGGCCCCTAAAACCAAGAGCCCGAAGTCTTCCAGAAATAAGAGCATTTCACGTAAGGTCCAAATTAGCTTGGTTTTAGCTTAAAGAGCTAGCATGTATTTAACATTTTGGGACATTGGGCTGTCAGTTTACTTTATAGTGGGACTGTCCTGTGGAGCTGTGTATTCAGAGTCTGGTTTCAGGGTGCAGTGGTAAACTTGGTCTTCTCCCAAGGGCCCTATGGACAATGCAGCCTTCCAGCTGACTCTCTGGGGAATGCCAGGACCCCATCCGCTGCGGAATGCTAAAAATAAGGCTCTTCCAGTGGCCTCAGGTGGCCCCAGCTCACGGAGCATTGTTGTCAGGTTAGGAAAGCCGATTGGGGGAGGGAGGTCCACACTGGCATGCTGAGTGTGTGATTTCTTCAGCATTCAGCATCTGCATTGTTCAATAAGCGGATTAGAAAACATTGCATAAAGTGGCCTTTCAGGGGGCTGCTTTTATATTTTCTCCTTCCCTTGTTTTGCAAACCATGATTTCACAGGAGAGCCCATTCAGATTGCTCAAATAGATTGGCCTTTTCCAGATCCTGGAGGTCACAGTTTCAGATTCACTTATTTCCCAGCACACTGCTGGTTTTCCTGCTTTTCTTCAAGAAGGGGATTGGCATTTTGCAGGGGAGGGGATGGACAGATTTCTGAAATCTGAACTCTTGAAGTAACAACAGCAGAATCTCCTGAGTTCATTTTCTTGATATTTCTCTTTGTTCATTCCCAGTCTCTTCTGTTTAGTCAACTGTAGCACCATTTCTTCTACCCCAAATATGATACAGGAGTCCCAAGAGAAAATGGCTGTCTGATATTTTAAATTGCTAGGACAAGGAATAGCCAAAATATTCCCTGGATTGCATTTGTCAGGGATATGGCGCATCCCAACTAACTAGAAGCTTTTCAGATTTTTAAAATGGCTTCTCCAAAAGACTTACATGTCCCAGATTTTCATAGTTCTTTGAGAGACGTTGAGAAGTAAATTGTTTTCATCTTCTTTTCTAAAACGCATAGAGGCACAGTGGAACATTTGCGAGTTGTAGTTGCTGTTCTTTCAGAAACCTTACAAAAATCAGTAGAGGCCACACATAAAGAAGGTTTCTATTCCTTGGTAAAAGCGAATGCAAATTCTCTGGCAGCTTAGCATCTGCTGACATAATTAAGACAATTGAACAATAATAGCTGTTTAGGGACTCTTTGTGTGCATCGCAAAGCTTTTGATAGGGAGACTATGTGCTAAGAAATGCTTAAATAAGCAAGTATACCATCCCTCAGCTCGGCTGTATTTTCCAAATACCTTACCTGACACTAAAATAGGAGAAAACACGATGTGACAAACTGGTGTGCGCATGTGTGTGGGAAAGTAACACAAGGACTGTTCAGCATAAATGAGTGAGAGATAGGAGGGGAGTCCCTTCGTAGGTTACCTCATAAAAGGCAGCTCAGTCCAGGTGGCAAGAAACCTGGGAAGAAACGATTCAGAACATTCTGAGAGGCTCTACCTTAACTAAATGAGGATTGGAGATTCCAATTGCAATTCTAAGATGCTGTATCTGCCTCTAATACTGGCATTAAAGGTGCCTTCCTTCCTTATTCTTGCTTCCTTGATCTTGTCCAGCTCTGTGGGACTTGACTCTTTGGTCTAGAAAAGAAAAGTCTACAGTAACGTTCTACATGCTTTGTAGAAGTTTAGTTCCTGGTATCTTGGGTTACAAAATCTCTTGGTGAAGTGCTTAGGAGGGACCTCTGAGGGTTTGAAATACAGTATTGGGTTAAATAGGTCAGTGGTCTGATTTGGGTGACTTCCCACATTCACATCTTTCCTGCTATAGCAAGAACATGAGAAATTAACACTAGATAATAGCCTGTCTTATGTGTGAAGTACGTAGCAATATTCTTTGCACTCAGGAAAATCTTTTTTGAGAAGTCGCCACTTTTACAAAATGGGGCTGTGGCTATAACTGAGAAGCTTACCCAAGGCTGCCCAGTAACTCCTGGGCAGAAATGGAATAACCTGAGCTTCTCCCTGTCCATTCACAATTAGGAAATCACACTCTTTTTCACATCACTCACCTCCATCTTTGCAAAAGTTCTTGGCACATCCATTTTTTTCCCCATTTTGTCCTTGTAACATTGTGGCCCCTGGAGATAACTCTTATCTCAGTCTGAACTAGATTCTCATCTATTTGAAAAGATCTTTACCAAGCAGGGTGGTTGACTGATTTGAAATTGGAAAGAGAGTGGTGAGAAATAGATAAGAAAAGTTCATTTGTGGAATTAGGAGTGCTGGTGTGCAATACCAATTAACTAAGCTCTATAGCTTCTGTATGTACGCTTACTTTACAACTTGGAAGCTTTTACCTACTCACGTAAAATTTAATGATTCAGGTGTGGTTAGTTAATTATGCTTTCAAATTTCTAAGACCATTTATTCATGTATGTATGTATGTGTATGTGTATGTGTATGCATGTGCAGGAATGAGTTTAGGTTGAGGTTTCTTGCCAGGATAATAGAATCGACTTTGTAGTAAAATGGAGTCCAACCTGGATTTCCCCCATCAACCCTTCAGCAACTGTACCACTGCTTCTTGCAGTTAGTAATGTTCTGCCTCATACCACCTCCTTTCTTTATTTGTCCATTTCTACCTTTGGTGTAGAGATCCATGTGAAAGCCACATGACTCGCTCAACCAGTTCCAGTTCAAGCCTTGATCCCAGTTCCCAGTTCCAGGAGAATAATGGGCAGGTGCAGACCTCCAGATGGGATGAGCAACAGAAGGTGTTTGCCTTGGAACAGATCTGTGGGGTCTTCAGAGTTGACCTGGGACAGATGAGGTCTCTTCGCCTTTTTTTCAGGTAAGATTTGACAGTATTCGGACATGGCTGGCATTGCCCTGTTACCTAGATGTGTTTCATCACAGCAAAACCAGAATGAATTTTCATCCTTGACTTTCCTTTTGGAAAAGCTTGCCAAAAGATTTCATGCCGCCACATAGTTCCTCGGAATGATGATATCATCCATCTTCATCTGCTGGCTTTCAGACCACATTTACCCTGCGTACCTGTGTGTTTTGAATAAGTCACCAAGGAACACTCGTCTGGGTGGCAAAAGAATTTCACTGAGCTGACAAAAAAAGTGACTTGGAAGCAGGCCAGCTTCTGCGTATCCATATGTAAAGTGGCTCTTCTTACCTACATAAAAGTCAGCTTCTGGAGGTTGGGATTACACATGACCTCAGCAAATATGACGTTTCCAAGGTAGTACATAAAATGGTCCTGAGAATTTCTGCTGGTGCTTTCTTTTCCCCATCTAGGTCCTAATTATATTTATATTATGTCTAGGTCCTAATTATTATTATTTTTTAAGTTGAAAAGTGAAGGTTGCCTCAGTACTTGTCAGTACAGAATGGTATTACAGACGCTTACTAATTGAGAGAACAAGTTCCTGAGAATAATTTCCCTAAATAATATTTAGTCTATGCTATTTTAAACATAGGATGTTTTTTGTCATGTTTTCATAACCTGCCCTCCCATTTGTCCTGAACAAAAGTTCCCAAAATTCTTCCAGGTACCAAGAGATAATTTTTGAAATTGTAGTTCAGTGCATCCAGAGGGTGCCAAATTGGGGCGACTGTTTTATATGGGCTAAGCGATAGTCCACATACGTAGCTGTTGTTTAATGAGTGCTCCTGAGAATTGGGATCAATACAATCCATTCTGTTTCCCAGCTGTGGGATTAGTTCCTTGCCTATCTCTCTATGACAGTGTTTCTCAACCTCCACATGCTTTAAGATGGGTGGACTTCAATTCCCAGACTTCCCCAGCCAGTATGCTGGCTGGGGAATTCTGGGAGTTGAAATCTACCCATCTTAAAGTTGCCCAGGTTGAGAAACACTGCTCTATGAGTTTTGGTGGTCTCTTTCCCCATGAACATTTCATATATATTTATAACTTTGTCCCTCATCCTTTCCCGTCATCCTCTTTCCCTTTTGCTTTGATCTCTAGTGACTATGCAGTTGAGTAGGTAAGTTTGACATGGTCCAGTCAGGCCACATAAACAAAAAGGCAGATTATTATTTTCAGGTAATTAACAGAATTTGCTTGTATGTTTTATAAAACCAATATGAAGATGTTACATTTTCATTGCTGTTCTTAACCACATATCCACATAAAGTTCAGATTTGGAAAAATATAATTATGCAATTTGGAACTATCAAGCAAGCTAATTTTTGTCCCTCTCTTCCACTCCCTTGAACTCTGGCTTTTATTATTTAGTTGTGTTGTCACCAGCCCAAGTGATGACTTGTTAAAAGCTGGGATTCCTAAGAGTCACAGGAACCAGCGGTCCCACTGAACTGCCACAAGTCTTTCTTATCCACCATTAATGTTAGAAAGTTTAAGGTTAAAGGAGTAATTTTCTATCTAATCATCCTTCGGATCCACCTGTTATCTCGCTTGTAGGTCTGTCTAGCATGATAATTATTTACGCCTTGCCACAAGGAGTTTAAGGGAGAAGCAAACTGACCTTGGCAACTGGTTCCTCAATTCTTTTGCTCAAATCCATATTCTTAGGATTTGCCAAGCATACCAAGGCTCAGGTTGATTACCATAAACAATCTGGTAAGTACTACCAGATGGAGGCCAGGCACTTCACCGGGTACCAAGAAGTGTGTGGCGTGCCCTGATTCTTCAGGACCTCACAAGCTACAATTTGGCTATGCTGGTTCATAATTAGAGCCGTGTGTGCTCTGCAGGGGAGAAAATGAAAAGCAACATCTACCCCCAGGGGAGAAAATCAAAGTATGTGCTCAGAATATATTATGCAAAGTAAGGTCAGATTATTTCCATAATTCATTTTGATTGCGGTTTGGAGTTCTCAAGGAAATTTGCCATTTCAGTCCTCGCTGGCACATTCTACAGGGAAGTGATGGTAAAACAAGTGGGCAAGTGAGGAGAGGCCTTGGAAGAGATGTGGGGCAATAATGGGAATCACATCGGACACAGGCTTCTGACTGTGCTGGAAGGCTAGTAGTATCCATTTTCTTTCTCAAGCATTAGCTTGTGACAGCGGTTAACACAGTAAAGTCCTCTTAGTACAGTTGGCACACTGCAGAAATGGTAACATGCATGCAGTATTCCCAACGCAGCTTTACCATCCATCTCAGAGGCTCCCAGCATAAGGCATTCTAGCTAATAAATGTTGGTGACTCTGTATTCCTGCATCTCTGCACCTTTTCCTTCAGTGATGAGGCCTGCACCAGCGGGCAGCTGGTGGTCGCTAGCCGGGAGAGTCAGTATAAGATTTTTCACTTTCACCATGGTGGCCTGGATAAACTTTCCGAAGTGTTTCAGCAATGGAAGTATTGCACAGAGACCCATCTCAAAGACCAGGTAAGTTAGACTAGACAAGGGCAGGGGAGGGGGAGGAGGGAACCCATGTGTGCATGAAAACCACCAGTTCACCTGATGATGAAACACAGGGATTCAACTTCAGTAGCTTCCCTCCTTCTTCCCGACAGCCTCTGGACTTGCAAACTCAGAAAGGTGAGCTGGTTCTTTCTTATCCTGGAGAAGCAGGAGCGGCAGTACTTCCTGGCTTCATTTTAGATGTAGTGGAGGCATCCAAAATATTCATTTCTTCTAAAACTGGGATAAATAGCACATTACATAACCAGAAGTAGCTGGCAGGAATGTAGATATGTTCAAGAATAATGTCGGTGGTGGTGGGTGGCATAGAATGCTTTATTGGGCATTGAAGATTTGGGCCTAGTTTTGTTTTTTTCTGTTATTGATGCTTTCAGTGATTGTGCATGACAGGTTGGCTGTATATAAACATGGACACAGCAGTGGAAGCAGTCACTTGTCTTTTCCATTTTGCTTAGTGTGAGGAGAGATGAACATCATGCATCCTTGGAAGGGGAGGGATTTGAATTTCTGTCTAGGATGTATCAGCATCTTCACTGGCCACACCGTCTTTTTTTTTTTTTATAGTAAGTTTATTAAAGATTACCATTTATAAATCAATACAAAGAAAATAAAAGAATAAAAAGAAAAAATAGAAGGTGCAGAAGAGAGAAAAATAGAAAAATATAAGAATATAGTAAAGAAAAAGAAAAGAAATATATAAAAATGCCTTCCCCCTTCATCACAACAAGTATAAACAATTTTAATAATCACCTTCTCTTAAAATACAACCAATGGCCTCTTTTTCCCATATCCCATCTCTTATCTATTTTTTTTTTTTTTAATCTGCGCTCAGTTGTTACCGAC